GCCAGACTAACGTAAAGGCAGCGCCCTGGTTCATTTGATTTTACCGCGCCCTCTCTGGATATCATAGCCCTCCCTATGAGGATGCAACATGTGCTCGTGTCGCATCTCAAAAAGACGAGAGGATAGCGCCGTTCTAGTGAAGAGTCGGCCGCCCCGCCCACCTGGCCAGCATAGGCTTCTATATAGGGCATTTTCCAGAATTTTTTTCTGCTTTTTTCTTCACTACTGGATCACGTATTATATGAGTTCCATAACTCATTATTCTTGAAAGCGGGCTCATCCTTCAGAGGCTAAGCCAAAACAGTTCTAGCAGCCAGGATGGCGGCGCGGGTGGCCCGATCCTCTTTACTTTATCCTCCACCCTTGTCGACAAAGCTACGATATCTAAGGAGGGCGTAGGAACATCAAATGAACGCGGGCGCTGCCTTTAGGGTCGTAGAGAGGATATACTCGTTTTTTATTCAATTGCCCTTGTATCTCACAACGAATAGGGAGTTCAGTTATGATACGCGATTGATTGACTGAATCTTAGAGGGCTCTATTGACAGCGGTGCGAATTCTTGGATATTTCCCACCACTCCATAACTGAACTTAGTTTTAGGTCTTTCATCGAGTCTGCTGTCCGCACGCTCATGTGGTGAGAGCGGCAATCGTTCGCAAATCCGTTATGCAGGCGCTAGTGGAGTTTGAGAATGTCGAAAGCGCAAGGAAGGTTAAGCATGCAACAAATGGTGCTGACATCTATCCGGGAAGTTGTACATTAAAGGTGGAATTCGCAAAGGTGGGGCAAAGGTTTGACTGTCTTCATTATTCAAGGTAGTATCATCGAATAATTTACCATTTTAGCTAGAATTTGTAAAAGTCACTCGTCAGGATGCAGAGCAGTGGGACTACACATGTGCCCAAGGTAAATATTTTCTTTGTCTCATCGCGTTTTCTCAGTCATGGAAATGACTGTTTCATCGCGTAACCCTTTATTCCGGCTAACTGCAGTCAAATTTTCTGGTCATTTTTCCCTTGACAAGTCATCCTTCCCTTGATATAACCTTATTGTTGTGGTAGTCAGAGGCTGAGGCTGCGTTTATACTCTGCGGAAAGAAAGAAGAATAGATCATGATTTAGCGAACGCCAGTGTCCACCAGCGTACCCCAGCGTCCACCAACGTCTCGAGGGGTAGGGAAGTACGGGTATCGATCTAGCGTCTGCCAGCGTCCACCAGCCTCAGGATTTTACAGTATGGGCAAGCAGGATTGTAGCAGACAGCTGGATTAGGCGTCGTGAAAATACGGCGTTTAGTACAACTGCTAAAGCACAGAATTATGCAATATTGGTGTACGGTGTAGTGGTTATACGGTTCCGTTGCACAGACCGCAACAACCGCACCGTACCGCAGACAGACAGACTCCTGCTTCCCCATACTCTCCTTCCTTTTCTCTCCTACTTCCATCCTTTACTCTCCTACTTCCACACACTTTACTTCTGGTCGCTGGTAGACGTTGGCGGACGCTGGTAGACGCTGCCGTTCGCTAAATCGATATCTATACTTTCCTAGTCGCTGACGTTGACGGACGCTCGAAACGCTGATGGTCGCTGGTGGACGCTGCCGCAAAGTATGAAAGTCGCCCAAGGCGCACTTCGCAATTAGCGCAAAAGTGCTGTCTCTCCATGAGTGTTGACCTCGCTCTGCAACCAAGGAGGAGGTACCCTTAAGCGATTTGGAAAAGCGCCGAGAGCGTTTCAAGCGAATCGCTTAGCTGGGAAGGCTCATGCGGACGTTTTGCCGTGTGTAGCCATGGTATTTCCTCCCACCACCACGTGTTAGTCTGGTCTCTGCTCGCATCTTCTCGTACTCGCACGATGCGGAAATTAAAGTAGTCTTACCTTAGTTGGGGCGGTTTTCAATGTTTTTCTCTGCTTTTTTGGGTTCCATAGCACATTTGTTTTTTATATAGGCTGTTTTTTATATATGCTACCCATACAGCAATTCATAATTACAAAATTTGTCTTAAAGGAGAACTGCCTGGAGGTCCTCAGCCGCGAAAGCAAAGGAAAACACTTTTGCCTGCACCAGGTGCGCTGTTCCTCATTTCTGTAGATTTGTTTCCTATTTCTCCTGTTGTTAGATGAGTACTCACGGCTGCGTTCACACTTCGCGATGGCGAGCGTGGAAGCGTTGCCGTTGCAATCCTGCGCCGGTATATCGATCGACGCCTGTAGCTAGTGTCTCGGGAGAGTATAGAAGAATGGGAGGGTACCAGACAATTTGATTGAGCCATAAAATGGAGTAGTTTGCAGTGCTGTCGCAAAACTTCAACGTCTTTTTTGAGGAACGCATAATCACACGGTCTGATACCGATCTTTTCTTGTATACTGTCCCAAACACCAGCGCCGTCACCAGACCATACCAGGCTGTAGCACTGGAGCGCTGTTTTGCAGCGGTAGCAAGGCGACGCGCTACGATGCGTTCTATCGCGAAGTCTGAACGCAGGAGTGTTAGAACTAACTTCTTTCGTTTACAGAGCCTTACGGCTATGTACAGGCCGGATATCCAGGAAGTAATATTGAGGAAAACAGCGGTAAAGAAGGTGGTTCCCACGCATCGAGCGGTTTATTGGTAGGTCTATATTTATTTGTTATTTATCAGGGTGCTACACACAGTTTTCTCCGCGACGGACGCTGGGGCGTGGGAGGGGAGCTGGGTATAAGGCAACGCCAGTTCTCCACCATTTGTGGAAGCTGGATAGCGACCTCAATTGGTGGAAAGTGGCAGGGGGGGAAGCCAAATCGAGCATTTCCCCCTAGAACGCCTGGCGTCCGCAGCGAACAAACTAGTGTTTCTCTGTGCATTCGATATATGTTTATGTTTCTCAGCTTCAATTCAACCTAAGCAAAACATAAATTTCTTCGGAATTTCTACGACAGTTACTCATTTTCTCATGTTTAATGTTTGTTTTTTCAGGGATCGAGCCCCTACGACAGTCAGGACTCCCTAGGACGTCAGTCTGCATTTCATATTTTTTGTGAAAAAACGTTTTATTCTTATTCTTTTTAGGTGGAATATTACGCCCTCTCCCAGCTTATCAGTCTGGTGATCACGGAGACTGTCAATCTTCACTTGATTTACCTGTGAGATAGTTGAATTCACTGCTTGAGTGAGAGTTCAAAAGCACCTCGAAAGAAGTCGTGTTCAGGGTCGCGTAGTAATGATCTATGGTGTCGATCGCGAAAAGCTTAACTGCGAGAAGCTGTTCAGTTTATTGTGTCAGTATGGAAACGTTCTTAGGGTAGGTATTTTCGAAGTTTTACTTGTTTCTCGTGCTTTGAGTATTTACCTTCAGATTCGTTTTATGGGTAAGAAAAGGGACACTGCGATGGCTGAACTCGGAACTCCAACAGCTGTACGTTACTTTATGACACTTTCGCGATGAATTGGCTTCCCCCATACGATGAGAGTACATTCATAGCTCGCGATTCGGTCGTTCTGACAGTGCGAGCGATTTGGTTGGTCTGATCGGGCGCGCAGTTCGGTCACGCGATCAGAGCGACCAAATTGAGGAGTATGATGTGCAACGAAGCAGGATTGGGATGGCGCGCGTCGACGCGCTATAACGCGCGTCAACGTGCTACTGCAACATCGCTGCGATCCTGCAGACGCGAATGCAGCCGCAGATGGCAATCGATCGGCGCCAGCAGTCGTATCTCGAACCCTTGACGTTCCACGCGCACAAAAACAGGCAATAACGAATAATAAGTGGGAAATTTCTTCGTTGCGATAGATTTCTCAGAAACCGGGCCTTATTTCGGCTTTTTTCGACGGTTTCTTCCACTTTTTTCTCGCTGCTAATTCAACTAGATCCCAGAGTCTTAGATTTGCGCCTCCGGTCTACGTTGTGCAGGTGTGGAATGCGCCTTGGGACATACCTAAAATGTCTGCTTGACATGGAAAAAGGTCGATTCTCTTGTTTAGGTTGCCAACGTTATAAAATATCTGCAAGGAGTTACACTATTTGGATTGAAATTGGAGATGAAAACAAGCATTCAAAATGTCGTGAGAGATGTTATGTAAGTCTTTCCTCTTGAAAGCCTTGTATTGACGAGGGGCTCATGAGGTCTATGGTCTAGAGAACTTTGTTAAAAAGGGATAACACAAGTCCTAAACGCAGGGAAGGGTTATTTCGCGCGCTTGAGGCCTTCATTTGCATCTCGATGAATGGAAAACAGAAAGAATGAGACGACTTTGCATGTTATCATTCATCCTCTAGCGCCGCGTTTATACTTTGCGACAAGGAAAACCAGAGAACTGGGGAAAGTAGCTCAGGGCGTCACGATGTCAAACTTGAATCGAGTGGAATAACCTCTTCGGAAAAAAAATTGGCTTTCACCGAAGTTTCGGCTAAAAAAAGGCGTTTTTCCTTTGAACATGATGGAACGTGGTGGTTCGAACATTTAAAATGTGGGATTTGTCTGGATTTTCAGGGGGAGGGATGATCTTCCGGATGGTTCTCCTTCGTTTCGTGATTTTTCGATGCTATCTCTACAGCGCTTCTCCACTCCAGAAGTTGCTGCTCGAAATCGGCTCACGGTTCCAACAAAAGTTTTGCACTGGTACAATGCTCCTGCTGATATGACTGAAGAAAAGATCAGACAGGCAAGTCTTCCCGATGACCATAATTCTTTTAGAAACATTCTATTCGAGAATTCTGTTCATTTTCTATTTAATTGTCTAGGTGTTTCTTCGCGCAATGCTCCAGAGCTTAAATCAGTGACAGTTTTTCTTGGAAAAACTGGAAAATCGTCAGCTGGAATCGTTGAATTGGAAACCATCGAGCAGGCGAATGAGGCTCTCGTCCTTGTTAATCACACCCGTGTTCACACCCCACTTTCAAAGGTGAGAAGAATACTCAGTGTGAATAAGTTTCAGAGCGGATACATATAAATCTTTATCCTCGGAACGGGAGAAACGCGAGGATTGCAATGGAGCGCCAGCCAGGCGGTCTTTTTCACAAACTGATGCATTTTTGTGCCCGTCACATTGTTGGAAGAAGCTGCCCCGACTGCGCCACATGCCACACTTCGCACACCCTCTCGTTAACGGGAATAGTGAATGTGCACAAAGGCGAATATGGAAGATAGATAAATGACAGTTGTCAGACGCTTTCACCTAATTTGCTGAGACGTCCTCGGAGACACAACGCACGCTCGGCTGCGAGGTGCGTTCTTATCAACTGTCCGGGCTAACGCGTCCCCAGCTGTCCAAGCGTGGCTGTTTCCCCGCTATTAACATTGCGCAGGGCATGGGGACTACAGGCAGGGCAGGCCATCGGTTGTATTATTCACAGAGCGGGGATGGTCCGTATTTGACCGCGGCGAGGGCGGTCTATTTGGTCTGAGAAAATATTTTTTGATAGTTGATTCTATAGTTTTACGGACGCTATAAAGGAGGGGCCGTATCTTCGTCGTTGTTGGGAGAGGAATACTGTTTACCGATAGTTGAAAATGATAGTTGAATCTTGACGACCTCACCCAGCTCTCGGCACTCCCCCTCCTCCCGCTCGACAGCAAAATTTTTCCGGAAAAACTGGTAGGAGGTTCGGGAAAATCTGAGAAATTTTCTCCTGTTTTACATTAGGGGAGTATATTCTCACCGCACTTCCCCCCTGCCTCCCCCTCCCACCGCTCGACGGAAAATTCTTGGCTGAAAAACTGGAAATTTTTCGGGAAAAATGGAAAAAGTGGTAGGAAGTTGGGAAAATCTAGGAAAGTGGTAGGTAGCATGGGAGGGGGTCGTATTTGAGGATGGAATTAGGGGTCGTATTTTTCAGGAAATGATCACAACGTGATGGCATGCCCTAAATACAGGTGAGATAAGGCTAATTCCTTCATACTCCGGACTCCGTCTAAATGCAAACTTGCGGCGCTGGGCAGCTGCAGCCTACATATCGCTTATCTCAATCTATGGCCGACCGGCCCTCCGCGTTGCACTTGCCAGGGTCAGGTGGAAAATGGGACGGTTGACCCCTCGTTAATGACTTGTCGCACCTACGATTCGAGGCATAATTAACGAGGTGCGAAGCGACCTCATTAAGCCGAGGCACGTCGCGCTAACTGCGGTTGGCCTCGGTAAGAGGAGAAGTTATTAAGCTATCCAAATTCATGGCATGAATTCATCGAAAATTTAAGTGGGTAAAAAGGTTGCTATATATTTCAGCTATTTATTAGTCACTATTATTATTGTTATTATTACTATTACAACTATTCAAACCAAAACTAAACATGCAAACCGAATAAAAAGTGTATCTTATAGTTTGTCTTGTTAAAAAATTGGGACATCTTTTTGGCACTAGGACTCTATTGGGCACTGGATTTATCTGCCCTGCTGATAAAGCTCGTTGAATCTGAAGATAACACTTGTCTCGTTAATGGGTAAACGAAGAAAAAGATTTGAAAAAAGATCCTCCTGCGCCATTTCCTCGATATGTTTAACGCTTTCCTCTGCCATGTATGCTTTCGTATGTCCTTGCGTACACCGGTTCCGAATTATGATAGCATGGTGATACAAGTCCCTACGTCATACGATGGTGCTGGTACCGGATAAAAATTGGTGGGCGGTGCTAGATACAAAGTGTGGGAGACGACGTCTGAGGAAACCCTGAAAACGGAACGGCTGCATCCACATAAGAGCAGGAATCGGCAGAATATAATAATGGTGGATTAGTACTTGAATGCATGACAACACAAGGAACTTGCTCAACAACAACTCACGTGTTTGCTTTCTACCTATTAGCTTGAGTATCTACTCATGACCTCTCGTTGAGGTGTTGTGTTGCCAGAGGGCTTTCCAAAGTGATAAAGAAGTCATTATCGGGATAATATAGAAGAGGCCAGAGGGTCATTACTTGAACTAACCCGCCGAAGGCAGGCAATGAGGCTCAGCGATATCCAAGGATGCACTTCGTAAACAGTATGGGTTTCTACGTGACTTCTTGAAGCTTTTCGTCATGAAATTTGGAATGATTGAGCTTATAATTTTTTATCGATGCTTAGTTGGAAGCTAGGCATTATACCATTCCAATTAGTTGCTGGTAGCTTTATCGGTTACTTTTTCAGTGTATGCCTTCTTCCCTTTGGAAGATCCTCATGTAACTTTCATCTTGTTGAGAGTTTCACTCAATTTGTTCCGATCTTGGTAGCTCGTGCGTGCCTCGGCCGACCTGCCTCAGCTTAGAGGTCCCTTCGCACCTCGTTAATTATGCCTCGAATCCTAGGTGCGACAAGTCATTACGAGGTCCCATTTTCTACGAACGCCCCCCTTGCCATAGTTCTTGCTACCTCCATTAAAAAACTGTAAGCAATCACCAACTGGACCGATTTCCTGCATATGTTGCGGGAAAATGGGTCGTAGCTGAGTAGCGTGGCCACTGTCTCTGGTCGAAAGTGTACGGCGAACGGGGTTGGAAGGTAGTGATACCAGATGCCGTCTCCATTCTCCGCCTGCGCTGCCACACGGCCGGGCTCACTCCCAAACATAGCCGCGCGCTCTACTTCTCTGACCCCTCTCATTTCTACTTGTTCTCTGCCACTGAATACGTGTTACGCTGCGGAGCTTAGGTATCGGCGTCAGGTGCTGCACCTCAAAGATAGCGCGGGCGGCGTGCGAATCTACCTAGGGTTGTTGCAGCAGTTTCTTTCCCCCGCCTTTTTTGTAAATATTCAAATAGGCGAAGCGCCGGCCTGAAGATTAGAGGTATGCACCATCACCATCCACTACTCGTCGCCAGCGCTCAGGCAGCTTGTCGATTCCATCCTCCCAGAACGACGGGGGCTGGGATTCGAAGAAGGCCACAATGCCGCACAATCACCACTGTGACATGGTTTTGCACTGGTAATTGTGCGGCATTGTAGCCTGCAAATGCAGGGTGGGTGAGTGATAGCTAGTGTGGTGAAAGAGTATCATGTACACGTCACGCACACGTGATGACGAAATACCAACCTCCATGCAAACGAAATAGGAAGGATCAAAACAGGGGGAAGAACTTACAACAACCTAATAGTGGACGGCACCTGGGTATCATTACCTTTCAATCCGCTTTCGAACTTTTTGGAGCCTAGAAAGTGGCACGCTACTGCAGCTGCAAACCCGTTGGTTAGATAAAAATGGTACGATCACACCTCCGTTAATTATGCCTCGCTTATGCCTCGCCCCTAGGTGCGAGACATCATTAACGAGGTGCGAAGCGACCTCATTAAGCAGGGGGAAATCGTGCTCGAGTGCGAAGTGACCTCATTCAATGAGAGATCATTGAGTTATCGAAATCGGAATAAATCGAGTGAAAACTAAACTATCAGGAAATTAAAAAAAACGTGAGGCTCACGAACAATTACTTATAAAAATGCTGGCACTACATGGTAAAACTCAACAAAATGGCATTGTGCTTAATTACTGATTGACCGTCAGTGGAAAGCTTATCCATATGGTCTTCCTAGTTATCATGCTATCTAGAATTCGGCATAAATCGATCGGAAACAGCCGCTACGGCTTACGAAGACTTGGAAGTCGCGTGGAAATCTTTGAAAATTACGGAGGGATTCCTTGCATATCGCTAAGATCTCACTGCCTGCTCTTCGGCGGGTTAAATACAGGTAATGACCTTCTGGCCTCGTCTATATTGTCCCCATAACGACTTCTTTTATGCGCTTTGAAGACCTCTGGATATACACGCTAAGGAAAGAGGTTCATGAGTAGATACTTAAGCTAACAAGGTAGGAAGTAAACGAACTTATCAGCAGGAGTAATCAGTGTGGCCCGAATAGATGCTAACTGCTAAAAATGTCTCAATTCGTCACAAACAAGAACTGTATAAATACATTTTGTTAAGTACACGCTGTTCTTTTTCAAGTAATTAATAATAATAATAATAATAATAAATATATGAAATATATGGCAATCTTTTTACCCACTTTACCGAAATCTTGCAATGGATTTATTCCGATTTGGATAGCTTAATAGCTTTCCTTGAAGTGAGGTCAGCTGCAGTTGAGCACGACGTGCCTCGCTAATGAGGTCGCTTCGCACCTCGCTAATGTAGGCTCGAATCCAGGTGGCGAGAAAGCTCGAGGTAGCTATCGTAACCATTTTTATCCTACCTCACCCCGTTCGCCTCGTTACATGGTAAGGACCGTCTCGAGGGGGTTGTGCTTGGAGCTGTTTTTAAGTGTCAGTGAAATTCTACATGGCGCTCTGTTCATTCTGAGTAACGTTAAATCTCATTTTTCCTTCTTATTCTGTTGAGCTACTTTGGTATTATCTCATTTCATTTCTATTTTGTAGATGAAATAAATATGATTAGCAAAGCAGTTTGTCTCACTACTCTCTCTTCAGACCCCCTATATTATTAAACTGGCTTATGCTGTTTCTTCGACGACACACGATGATGCATCTGGAGAAGTTCGGCGAGGTCAGCTTGGTGCTGGGGGACCATCACGTGGAGGTCTTCATGGGGGCCTTGTTGGAAGTAGACGGTTTGTTAGAATATTTATACGTTTCTATGAGAAATGGTGTCGGTTTGTTGTGATTTCATGCTTTAATAAAAGATTTTTCGTTCGATTTTCGCATGTAGAGTGTGACGATCACAGAATAGCCACAATCAGCAGTAATATGTGACAGTCAGACTAAAGCATTACATTACAACAAACATACAATCCATACGCACCATTTTCATTTCAAATGAAACAACTTTCATATTGAATTCAGCATTTTTCAAACTAAATTGGACACTTTTCAAATCAAATTGGACGTTGACAGTTGGCTGCTTCTTCGCGCCCCTCATAAAAGCGTCATATAATGTGCGATTTGGTGTGCGCAGGGATCTGATTAGCGACACCTGCCGTGTCTAAGGGAGTCGTGCAAGTTTGCAAAAGGTTCGGCCATCATCCTGAAGTTGGAGCAGCAATCTGGTTCCAACTGGTTTTGAGGGCGTCAATTTCGGTTCTTTCGTAAGAGGCCAAAGAATTGCTTGTATAGGGACAGGAAGTAGATAAGACTGCGTTCATACTTTGCTGCAGCGTCCACCAGCGACCTATAGCGTCCGGCAGCGTTAACGGCTTAAAATCTAGCGTTTGCCAGCATTTGGCAGGGTTCACCAGCGTTCACCAGCGTCTCGGAAGCTAGGAAGTATAGGTATCGATCTAGCGTTTACCAGTCCAACAGCGTTTAGCAACCTCCGGGAGGGGAGAGAATGGCACGATAGGGGGTAGAAGACAGCAGGTAGAGTATGGGAGATAGGAGGGTATTAGACAGCTGGTAGAGTATGGGGAGATAGGAAGATAACAGATTGTTGCAGATTATGTTAGGCGCGATAGGATAGATCGCTACTACTACGACAGCAGGTGGACGCTGGTACGCGGCGCTGATGGACGCTGGTGGACGCTGGCATATACTGGCAAACGCTAAATTTTCTACTTCTGCGCTAGGTCGATATCTATACTTCGCTGATCGCAGACGGTGTCAGGACGCTCGCAACGTTGGTGTCCGCTATTGGTCGCTGGTGGACGCTGCAGCAATGTATGAACGCAGCCTAACTGTGCGCAAACACACTCATTGCATCTTACCGGTCCGGAGCGTGGAAGAAATACAGGATCCTCTTGAGGTAAGAGCAGCGTTTGATGGTATGCTAATGCAGTATAATGGTGATTTCTGAAAGATGAAGCGTAGCACGGCGGCGGGGCTTGGAGCGTAGCCAGAACAGAGTTTCACCAATTGTAGC